AACTGAAAATATGGATGGAGGACCTCAGTTTAGCTTGTTTGGTGCGCTAGCGCCGAGCTAATACATATAAGGAAATAAAGCGTTGGCACCATTTTGTAGGAGTACACCAACACCTCTTATAACAATGTTATAAGGATATTATTTTAGCAAGGATCTCTTTATTTTTGGTAAAATATTCTTGCAGTGCAAAGTGAATGGACACACAATAAGTTACGTGAGTCAGTGAATTTTGATTTGATCCATAAATAAATGCGATCATTTATTTTACATAAGCTGTTTAATACCAGACATTTGAGATAAATAACTTAAGGTTGGTAAGGTAGGTTTTAAGAAAAGGAGGAAAGAAAGGTGTTAGCTTTCCTAACTTTTAACTTAAATAATGTGGGTGAAAATGCATGTTTATGAAATAAATTCTAAAGTTACAACTAATCATGGATCCCTTTAAGCTCTTCTCTGAGTTTGTGACAAGACAGAAACTTCCATACATGTCCATCACAGACTCACAAAGAAACATTTATTTTCACAGCAACCCTCCTGGAAATGAGATTTAAATGCTAATGCTAATGCTACTATAAAAAGTTAAAGAATTCGTCTTTGTCTCTCCTCCTCAGGTTTGGCTTCATGCTCCCTACGAGCTCCATCTGTCTCTCTTTGAACACTTTAATGAACTTCTGACAGAATCCAGGCACGTATCAACTTTTTAAACTCACATGTTAAAAAAAAAACTGTCTGCTTGAAGTGAAGCTTTCTGTGTGAAACAGTGAGGCGGCCAAAAACGCCAAACTGCTGCGGGAGTTCCAGCTGATCCCCAAGCTGCTGCTGACGCTGAGGGACACCTCGCTGTCGCAGCCCACCGTCGCCGCCATCAGCAACGTGCTGAGTCTGCTGCTGCAGGGCTTCCCCAGCCCCTACGACCTGCTGCGGTGAGAGCACACGCTCCTGCAGCGAGCACGACCCGTTCACACCGCAGAGAGTTTATAACGAAGTGCTTTTCTCACCTCGCAGCTTCGGTCAGTTCATCTCCTCCACTCTTCCTACGTTTGCTGTCTGTGAGAAGTTTGTGGTCATGGAGATCAACAACGAGGAGAAGATTGATGGAGGTGATCTGAAAACATCTGTTTCCTGGAGAGTTGTTCTTTAGACACAGATCTAACCTGGGCAGGATTCTCTCTCCAGGTAACGATGAGGATTTTGGTGGCCTCCTGTCAGCCAGCCTGATTTTACTGAGGAACCGTTTGCTGGACAACCTGCTGCGGCTACTCTTCATCACCAAAGAGAAATGTGCCGTTAACGTTCAGTAAGACATCCTCCTCCTCCGAATTCTGCTGCTTCTGAAAGCTCCAGGCTGTAAAACTAAGTTCCCTCATTAATCATAAACAGACTTTCTATGTCGGTAATTTTTTTTTATTCAAT